GGCCTCGAGCGACACGGAGAATGAGGCCTCGCGCGAGGCGGAGATCAGGTTCCTTGCCGAGGCCTTGCGCGAGACGCCTCGCACGATACGGAGAATGTACCCCTGCCGAGGCCTTCTCTAGATAGCCTCGGGCGAGACGGAGACGGTGCCCCCTGCCGAGACCTACCCTGGGGAGCCTCATGCGAGGCGGAGTTTGTTCTGAGACCCCCTGCTCGAGGCTCGAGGCGAGGTGGAGGAGGGCTCGGTCGTGGCAGGTGAGGGGCCCACGGCTTACCTTCTGGCTTTATTTTGATGTTTGCTTGGGGTACCCCGTTCTAAGGTACCCGACAAATAGGTTTTATTAATCAAAATATTATCAACAACTTATTGGCAATATTTGTTTATGAGGAAAGGGTCAAGGTTCAAATACCCATAATATTATATTTATCATTTGTTTTTATTGTTATACAGAGAAAAGGATAAATATACTAATATAAAAAAACAAAAAAAGCCGGCAAAGGAAAATACCAAAAGAAAGACGAAAGAAAAAAAAACAAAAAATGAAAAGGAAAACCAACAAAAACAGACGCAACACACGGACGGTTCTCTACCTTATCCTTATCCCGTCTACACGTGCACGCGTATCCCCGCATCGCTCATAGGGGCTCGGCATCACCGCCGTCGGCCTCCTCCATCCCTCCTGGCACCGCCTCGGAGGAACCTCGCGGCGCCACCCTCCACCACTCCCAGCGCCGGCCTCGCCCTTCCCTGTGCGGAGCCTCCTCCGCTCCTCCGGTGCTGGCATGCACACCGGCCTCCTTGCCCCTCCCCGCGACGGTCTTCTCACCCGGCCTCACTCCTTCCGGCGCCGGCCGGAGTCCCTACCACCACCGGTCGTTGCAGAGCGCCGCCGCCGCCTCCTCGTGTGCCTCGATGCTGCCGTTGTGGCCTTCACCGACGCCGCGGCCCTAATGGCCTCTGATCTGGCCGACTTCGTCTGGTCCAACGCGGCTGAGGTTCCCCGCACCGTGAAGCAACTGGCCAAGCTCCACGCCTCCGCGCGCTCGTCAATTAGAGAACCTAGGGTTTGTAATTTGTCTTCCCGCTCATATTTAATTTGTGCCCATCGCCATGCTTTCTTGAGGTCGTTAACATCTATTGTTTTGATTTTATATGTTGTTGTCTTTCTAAAGTTAGTCTGACTTGGGTTTGGATTTGGATCACTATGCTGTGTGGATTTTGATTCACACTCGATTTGGTGTCGGGCACCTTCTTGTCGATTTGGGCTTGCCAATTTAAAAAGTCCTTGTATAGATTTGGGAGACCGGAGAAAACCTATTTGATTTCAGATTGAGATGGTCTAGACGAAAATAAATTTAGAACTCTTTTTCGATTATATTTGGATCTTTGGCTGATTTATTGTTTCCTTCTCTTTCCCACATCCTACTATTATCTGTGTTCTTACGGACTTCTCCACAGCTTATATTCAAAGTAAACTTGCAGCGAGCGGGCATAGGGCATATGGATTCCTAAGTGAATGCGGTAACAGTTGGGTCAATAAATAGACCAGACAAAAAAATCTAGAGCAAAAAAAAAAAAACCTGCTAGTGGAGGTGGCAGAAAAAAAAACGCAGCATAAATTTTGCCGTTTTTATTATTACTAGCAAACGTGTCCGTACATTACAACGGAAGAGAAAAAACTATCTAATATTTATATTTATAGAAAACGATGAGGAGAAAATGGTACCTAGTATCCAAGTTTCTATTTTTTCCCTGTTCATGTGTGCTTTGTTTATCCGCTTAGGTATTTTTGGATTTTTTTCGATAATAAATAAACATAAAAATAATAAATGTAGCATTATGAGTCAAAAAAATTCACCACCAAATTATTCGTGTAGTTTTGATTGAAAATAAAATTTGTTGTTGGTGGACCCCTGGGTTTCTTTTTTTTAACATAAATAAATAAAAGAGTTGTAGTTATTGAAGCGTGGAAACCACTTTAATCATGCAATGTTGAAAACAGTGGGCTCCTCTTCCCTTTTGATCCGTTTGCATGCATTTTTTTCATGCTTATATAGATATAGTGTGGATAGTATTTCCTATATACAGTATATACATGCACATAAATGGAACGTGTAATTTTTTTAGTCCACATTATTGCCCAGCAAAACATACAGGAAACGTGTAGGTGCAGCACCGACTTGGCCCCTGTTCGTTTTCCTAAAATTTAGCTTATGCTACTGCTTATGCTTCTTTGTTGAGAGAGAAAACACGGTTGCTTCGCTGACAAGTATTGCTGAAATAGTACAGAAGAACAGGGCGAGAACTCTAAAAAAAATTCAGAAATCAAAATGAAGAATCGACTCAATAATGGCCTGGTGACCGAGGCTTCTCCCAGTTTGAGATCCTATTTTTTTCTATTTTATATCTATACTATTATTTCCTCTAAATCGGAAACAGCTGAAAAAAAAAAGTTGCAAAACTTAAACGGAAACCATCACGTACATTACATGGGAGAAAGGCCGGGAAAAAACGGTTTCTCGCTAAAACAGTTTGGAAAAGCCGATTCTCAAACAAAAAGTCTTGAATTAGGATTCCTATTCAAATGACTCAAAATCAAAAAGATCTATTTGATTAGGATTAGGATTCCTATTTCTATTCAGATTATTGTCATATAAGTCTAGACGGAATAAACTCTCAACTACAGGTAGTTAAAGAAGAGGTGGACGAAAAAATGATCGAAAATTTTGCCTTTTTATTATTAGGTATAATATATAGAGGTATAGAAAACCATCCATCACTGAGGCTTTCTTTTTTTGCCTGTGTTTGAACGTCCAACGTTCTTTTTCAAATCTTTTCCTGTTTTTTTTTTTTTTTGCGTTTTTCTTTTTTCATGAGCATTTTCGCTTTTTTCTTGTGTCGGAATGTTTCATGTTTTCTTTTGCCTATCCATCGGAGGTAGCGTCCGACATCCGCCTTGGAGTTTTGGTTCTTATTTCTTCTGTTTTTTCCTTTGTTTTTTCTATAAAATAAATCTCTATCTCTACACTTTATCTATCCATACCTATAATATAATATATCTTATATAATCTATAAGATTACTTATAATAATATTAAAAAGGGTTTTTTTCTCCATCTATCTATATCTATAATATAATATTACTTATAATAATTAAAAAATAAAGGGCCTTTTCTGTTCCACATTTTTACTTTCCAAAATGACCTTGTACCCTGTCCTGTCTTTTTACTTTCCAAACTCTCATGATGTCCATGTATGACCGTCTGACCCAAACTCTTGACCGTGTTTATACAAGTTAGAACAACTACTTGCGTCTAGATACATCAGGGTGCCTACATACATACACAGCCACATATAGCACACCGAATCGGCACAACGCCGCGTGCGCACACGCGTTTCTCCATGCACCTAAGACTGGTCGATTAGTGAAGAATACGACGCTATCAGCACTAGATCACGATTACCTGTCACTAGCCTGGTTGTCCCTGATAGATGCCTATGGCTACAGCAGCCCCCACACCGCATGCGAGGCAATGTGGACCCCGCGTCGGCCCGCTTGTCCGTAGCCTGCATCACGAAGCGCTTGCAGCATATAGCCAGCAACCCTCGGTTACTGACGCGCGCGCATCTCTACGTGGCCGGTCGCCAGCCGCGTAGCCCACTTCTACATCTTCATGCAGACGAGGCGATGGCTGGGATACGTAGGCCTGCATGCATGATCAGTGTGCGGACGCATACGTCCACGGGAATCACAGGCGAGGGCAGGCAAACCAGAGGTAAAGAGGTCACGGTAGGCTGCAGCAGCAGCTGCACACAGGTAAACAGCGGCGGATGCAGTTGGAATAAATTTTAGAGGGCTAAACACCACACATATCTCCGAGGAGGCTTCAGCGGAAAGTGGCTCCCGTGAACACGCCTCCTGCCAATTTAAGTCTTGCAGCCCCCTGCACTATAGGAAAATACTTGATTGCAAGGGACCTAGACTTACCGGCGGGTCACGAAAAATGTATGCTTCCCTGTGTGAGTGAGCTGGCCAGCCAGCTCTAGTTAAAGAACAGACTGGCGGATCAGCAGCAGCCTCAGCTGAAGGAGTGACTTTGAGATTGTCAATGACTACCTCACGAGCAAGCTGCGCAACAGGGACTTCATTTGCGCCCTCGGGGAGGTCGACCTAAATAAGACTGAGCCATGGGACCTCCCGAGTATGTAACAAGCAGCCTCGATCTGTACTGTACATACATATATGCCTTGGTCTTGTTTGATCCGTGCAGTGGATGCATGTTGCTATGCTAGTGATCGAGATGTGGTCTAATATATGGCGCTTAATTCGATCGCATGCTACAGGGGAGGCAAAAATGACCGAGAAAGAGTGGTACTTCTTCTCACAGAAGGACCGCAAGTACCCGACGGGGCTAAGGGAGAATAAGGTCATGGAAGCAGGTTATTGGAAGGCGACCGGCAAGGACAAGGAGGTATACAAGCCCACCAAAGGGGAAGGGGTGGTGCTGCTCATCAGCATGAAGAAGACGCTTGTCTTCTACGAAGGCAGGGCTCCCAGGGGCAACAAAACGAACTGGGTGATGCACGAGTATAGGCTCGAAGGCAGCGGCAGGCCCCCTGGCCCCACATCCGCATCCAGCTCAGCCACTAACGCCACCACGGCTATGGAAGCTTTAGCTTCTGCTTCCAAGGTGCGTGGTAGTGGTAACAACACTGGCATGATGTATGTCAATATGCTACTTGCTTTATTTGCTTAACCAAATCTGATTTCGCTTTTGGTTTACAAATGGAATTCGCGTAGGATGAGTGGGTGGTCTGTCGTGTGTTCCACAAGACCACTAGGATCAGGAAGATGACTGTACCGGCGTACCAAGTGGCCATGTCCGGTGCTGAGATTGATCAAAATCAGAACAACATCCCGGCCATGCCCATCCCCATGCCGCTGTAGCTACCGTAACCCGTGCCCATGCCAATGCAATTTCCCATCCTGCCAGACTTTGCCATGGACCCAGTGCCCACCTACTACCCCAACCCCAACGCTGGCGTGGGGATGCCACTAGTGATGCGGCCTATGGTAGGTATCGGTGGCGCTGATGGGCTTCAGATCAATGGTGCCCTGTTCGGCAATCCGATGGTTGTGCCACCGCCGATGAACTTCTACCACCAGATGGGCATGGGGGTAGTCGCTGGCCAAATGGGCATGGGGGAACCAGCAGGCCAGATGAGAATGGGGGCACCATCGGCCAGATGGGCATTGGAGCTATTGGCCAGATGGACATAGGAGCAGCTGGCGCTGGCGGCTTCGATGTTGCTGCACCGGAGAGTAGGCCGTCCTCGATGGTGTTGCAGAAGGATGAGCAGGCTAATGTCGCTGAGATCTCATCGATAATGTTCGTGACCGGCCCAGGGTCCGCGACCACCACCATAGAGATGGATGGCATATGGAAGTACAAGTACTAAAGAAGTAAACATGGAGGGTGGAGCGCGAAGACATGAATTCGCATAAATATGCATGTTATATCTATATTTGCATTGCATTTTGTGAAATAACGCATGGTTTATATATTTCCGTAATAACTAGTCGATAAGCTATGTGTGTATGCATGTACTAGTATATGCACCATATCATTGTTGCATGTGTGGTATATGTGTATCGTTTGGTCTTAGTAATCTAGGGCATGATAGTATGCATACCTAGATATTTGACATTTGCTTGGTTGTGTTGATGGTTATATTGTAAGAAAAGCATATTGCTGTTTGGTACAATATTATCCTGAACCTATATATATTATATATATGTGAATTATAGTATGTTGTTTAAGATCTGAACTTGAATGCCAAATTAAACATACAATTAATGTGTTTATATTGTGATCTTTTTGATGAGGCCAATGGAATATGCATGTGATAGTTGTCACACCTGCACACCTCTCTGGCTGTCAGATAGGAACAAAACAAATCCCGCAGTGCTGGCTCAACCTTATATTCGCTCCCTATCAATAATAGCTTGCAACACGGTTTTCTCGCTCCCCTGCTCCACACCCCCTTGAACAACCTCCACCTCCGATCCGTGCATTTCAGATCTAAACCATCGGCACCTTATGAGGTAGGTTGTCCTCCTCCAAATCTAAGCATGTCAGGGCTAGGGTTCTCATGGTTAGGGACTGCATATAAAGTTCAGGGAGGCCGGTTCACCAGTACATGAAGAGGCGCCATGAGGGGGGTGAGATATGAAGTAGTTTGTGTTGGTGTCGGAAGAGGCTAGCGATGACTTGCCGCTAGAGCCCTGCAAGATCGGGTGCGGTGGATAGTAGTAGCGAGCGGCCTCCTTGGTTAGTGGATTGGATCGGAGGGTGGTCCTAGTAGAGAAACGACTTTTGATCCACTTCGAAATTTGGCTTTAGTCCCGGTATTTTTCACGCCCAGGACTAGAGAAACCTTTAGTCCCGGTTGGTAGCTCCAACCGGGACTAAAGGTCCCTACCCAACAGCTACTGAGGCAGGCTTTTGCTGCACAACCGGGACTAAACCGGGACTAAAGGTTAACTTTTACTCCCGGCTGGAGGCTCCGTCCGGGACTAGAAATCCACCTTTAGTCCCGGTTGGAAGGCCACCAGCGCCTTCATCTCTTCCTCTCTTCTCAGCCGCCAACAGTGTCCTCATCTCCCCACTCCAGCAGCGCCCTCAGCACTCTCTCTCTCTTCCTCCCCATGCTATCCACTCTCTTCTCCCCCACGCTAGCTCCCTCCCCTAGCGGCGCACCCCTTCTCTCTATCTCTCTCCCACTCCTCCTGGCAGCACATGGCGGTGGCGCCCCTCCTCGGTGGCGGCTGGCGGCCCCCACATCCTTGGCGGCGGCAGATATGCCCCTCTACTCCTCGGTAGCGGCGAATCCCGCCTTCTCCTCCTCGATGGCGGTGGATCCTGCCTTCTCCTCCTCGGTGGCGGCAGATCCGGCCCCCTCCTCGGTGGTGGCGGATTCGGCCTTGTCCTCCTCGGTGGCAGCGGTTCCGGCCTTCTCCTCCTCGGTGGTGGCAGATCCGGCCCCCTCCTCCTTGGCGGCAGTAGATCCGGCCCCCTCCTCTTTCCCGACGGCGCTGGGGAGGCGGCTGGAGCTAGGGCGGCGGCGCGAGGCCCAGATCCGTGCAGCCCAGATCCAGGCCCGTGTGGGTTTTTTCTTTTTTTTGTTTATTTTAATCGATTTACGGAGGAGGGCAAAGCAACCGCCTCCATTAATCACACTAGTAGAGAAACGACTTTGATCCACTTCGAAATTTGGCTTTACAAAATGTTCGAACATTATAAGCGTGTAGAATACGTATATTATTAGCAGCGTAGCATGCGTATTCGAAAACCTATTCGAAAACCAAAACGAATCATCAATTGAAAATAGAAACAAAAAAAATCTTTAGTCCCGGTTGGTAATACCAACCGGGACTAAAGGGTCGGCCCACGTGGCCAGGCCGGGAGGCCTCTTTAGCCCCGGTTGGTATTACCAACCGGGACTAAGGTGGACCTTTAGTCCCAGGCGAGAAACCGGGACTAAAGGAGGGGCCCTTTAGTCCTGGATTCGTGCTCCCGGTTGGGAAACCGGGACTGAAGGGGTTTCCCAACCGGGAGTACAGCTTGTTTCTGTACTAGTGGAAGGGCCTATGGTGGGCGGTGGCGAAGGCCGACCACAATAGGGAATGCAAAAAAATATTTATAATATTATTTCTATCCTAATCATTTCTTATTTGGTACATCCTTCTAGGAAAGGTGTTAGGATCATAACCCTTTTAAATGAGTACCCAAGATGATAGTCTTCCATTGACTATTAAATTGGACATCCACTACTACTGAAAAGTTCACTGCCGGTTCCAGAGCCCATCACCAACGGTTTTGGCCCCCGTTGATAATAGTCGGCGGTGATAGTCGGTGTCCATCACAGCCGGTTATGAACCGTCGGTTGCGAGGGATTCGTTCGCGTATCCGCCAGACTCGCACAAGTGTCGTCCATTCGACCAACCTAGCGATTATATGAAGTCTGATTCCAAGATGTGACAAGCAATGATAGAGTCCGATTCCCCAATATATATTGGAACCTATGACGTGATCATTATTTAAATTTTTAAGCCATAACTCATGTTTCAGGAGGTCATACGATAAGGTATACATTCAGTTGCAACACACGAGCACATTTGCTACTATTTATTCATGTCTAATTCGTTTTATTCGTTTTCATCCCTAAAGTTATGCCATGGATATTTATTTCTCCGCAAAAGGGAACATACAAATACACCCACCGGTCATAAATGCTTAATGCTTGAAATAATCCAACCAAACTTTATGAACTTCTCACCATCATCCATATGTATAGAGTTATCTTGATAAACCATCATCCATATTATAGAGTTATCTTGATAAGTATTTTTGTACCTGATACTTATTATGCACTATTACAACTATATTTTTAGTGAGAAAAATAATTAAAGATAAAACTCAAATAACATGAGTACTAAAGGTAGAATACTTCAAATCTTCCGTTAGACTGTCACAAAATTTACAGCCCGCTTCCAGTCGCATGCGTGTCCAACATAAATAACACGTGGGCCGTAGACAACAGCCCAACACACACTATGAGCAACAACCACTTTCCTTGTCAAATCAGATTTGCATCTTCTGTCAGACTTTCACAAAATTCACGGCCTGCTACCAGTCGCATGTGTGCCCAACATAAATGACACCCGGTCCGTAGACAACTTGACAAATGCCAACACATCTTCTATGAGCATGACCCACTATCCTTGCCACATTTGCAATCAAGAGACGCATCCAGTATCCATGATCTGCATAGCGTCATGGAAGGTAAAAAAGGCCACTGCCCAACTCAACCAAATCATTATCCACGTTACATTAGCTTCTGTGTAACGCAATCTATACACACGTTTGTGGGGTTTTTTTTATGGACCCACGTTACCATGAATCGAATGTCCATCCAAAAGGGGCTGCTTTTAGAACGGAAACAGATTACCAACACAAGAGTAACTTAAGAGTTAACCTAGCTTTGTGGAAATGCGTCTATAAGGTTAACAACAATCAGAAGTTCACTCTATGAAGAAAAATAACTCGCCAGAATGTTAGGGTGATTGGTGAAGTTTGATCCATGTCAACTATCATCAGGTATGTCAGCCATACAACATATTCATTTTACCTGCTGCAGTTCATACAGCATACAGCAACACAACAATTCGGAGCCACCAGCCATGTGCTGGAGTCCCAATCAGCAAGCAAAGGTATCACATGCAGGAGTGATTCTAGACCTTCCCGTACAAGCATTTACTGCCTGTGACAGAAAAGAAACACCCACCATTAGCTCGTCGGGTTGTGACCGTTCAGAAATAAAACACATGAGGATAAGCAGTGAAGCATAAAAAATAAAAAATATGTAATGGTTCCTTCTGTTTCATATTGTCCAAAAAAGTTGCATAATTTTGCAATTAACAGCATGGTTTGTGCACTTGGTGAGAAAGCTTCATTTGTAGAGCAATTGTACCTCAGGAATCTACAACGATTGGTGTCGGCATGGAGGCTTCATCTTTAGATACTTCAGCCATTGCATCTGAATGGATGTTATTTAGCACCAGCATCTCCTTCTCTCTCCAAATCGCATGAACTTCATCAGTTCGGAATCTTTGCGTAAATGTCGACTCCACCAGGGGAGTGGTCACACCATGTGCATACGCCAGTAAACCAGTGTATGCAATCATTGCCCCATTGTCTATACAATAGCGGTCATCAGTTGCAAACAGCCTACCCCCACTTTCTGAGCACATAATCCTCATCATCTCCTGTAAACGTTCGTTGCAACCGACACCACCAACAATAAGAACGTCCTTTGAATCACAGTGCGCCATTGCACGTTCAGTAATTTCAACAAGCATGGCGAAGACAGTTTCCTGCGCAAATTATGACTTTCATCAGTGTCGCTGTCAACAAAGCATAACCAATTATTATCCATAAGGGGGAGAAAGTCAAGAGCATGCGAGTACCTGCAATGAGTAGCATAGGTCTGCAGGTGTGCACTCATTCTTTTTAAGCTTTTCAATCGTCATAGCTTCAATAAAACTCAATATGCCACTAAATGACACATCCATACCCTTCACAACATAAGGGAGATCAATGAATTTTTCTCCCTTCTTTGCAAGCTGGACAAGGAAAATAAATACGGTACATTAAGAAACCAAACTCAAGGATGAGAAAAGAATGTGCCATGTTGTACAAAGACATAAATCTGTTCAAAGAGAAAATGTCTTCAAAACAAAACAAAAAAAAGAAGAAAAATGCTAATGGTGACAGCCTGACAGGTAGTACAATAATGAAGGTAGAATGGTAGATAACAATATCATGTGGAACTACCTCGGAAGTACTCTCTTGAAAGATTCACAGACAGAATCCATATTGTTGCCAATGTTAATAATA